AGATTTCGACCAGACGGCGTTAGACTGCAAAACACAAATACTGACGGAGCTCTGTGCAGCTGCATTTTAACAATATTCAGCAGGTGGCAAACTCGATGAGTATTCTGAAAATGCTATGCGCGCATGCGCCCTGCAGAGCTCCAGTCTTTCTGAGCACTTGAACTGAGGTAGTTGGAGCCTTCGACAAGTTGGATCTTTCGATAGAACACCTCCACTATAGGTGTCCCCACTGCAAGATTTCCCCTCACCTCCTGTTCTGGTGACAACTGTATAAATTGTAGGTTTCACTTACTTTTCACTTACCCTCCCATTGAAAATGATCATCAGAACAAACAGAGGATGAATCTCCCCGGCGGAGTTTCATACTGCAATGGAAACCAGACACTTCACCATGCCATCAAAAAATAAATAAAATGGCTACAGATACACTTTAGGGCTCATTCACACGGGCGTGTATGTCCATACAGCGTGCAGCCCCATGCAAAGACTTAATTCTGGGAGTGACAGGCGCCCCGTGTAATTGTGTGCGGCAGCCTGTACCTCCCTATGGGAAGACATGGTTGCACGCGGATACACGCAGTCCCGTACCTGCACATCTGTGCCGGTCCGGCCGTCTTCCCCTTGGAAAGCGAAGTCTGCCCGTACTGTGTGCCGGAGGATGTAAACACTGCACTGGGCCCACAGTGTTCCAACCACACCGCCGATGGGTGACTGTTTATATTTACAGTCTGGAAGTTCTTTGCTTTTGTTTCTGGAAGTGCAATTACCGTTCAATAACAAAGAGAATTCATCTTTTATTGATGTGACTATGGCACTGCCAGAAGTGCTTACAACAATCACCTTTTATTTCCATTGTTTAGATCTTCTATTCAAAAAGCAAACCAAAGCTGCAGTAAGCTAGTAGCAGTTTGTCACATTCGGCTGGACTTCTCCTGTAAAGGTGGCCATACACTTTACAACCATCGCAAGACCTTAGTCTTGCGATGGTTGTAAAGTAATAAAAAAAACGTACGATCTGCCCATCTTGGACAGGCAGATCATACTTGCGATCATCGCAAACCCGCCCCCCTGAGGGGCGGGCTTCCGATTACCGCAATGCTGAACTGGCAATGCCCGTTGGGCATTTGCCTCCCGAGCACCATTCAAACCAGCCGAAAATCGTAAGATTTTCGGCTGGTTTTCTAACGTGCTCCTTAGACAAAAGACGTGCAACCGTACAGTAGAAACGGTCGCACGTCTTCATTCACACTGCACGATTCTCGTATGATCGTGGGATTCAGTAGACTGCAATAAACTGATACCAGGTCAAATCCAGGTGCTTACACAGAACAGGGCACATAGAAAACAATTGTCTTCAATGTCCCATTGCAGGAACAAGTATTAATCAAGCCAAGGAACAGCACCAGTCTCCGCACATGGTGTAAATACTTGTGGCCTCTAGCGGCCAAGCAGGCACTACTGTCAACTGTTTAATTAAATATGTGATCTTCATAGTTGCTATGAGCACCGGCTCTGTCATCTGCTCCAATCTTCATCAGTCCATGTTTACTATAAAATACAGGATCAAGCTGAAAGTGAGACTCAGGTCTTCCAGTTCATGGCAGTTCACGTTGTAATAAACCAATAAATTAGACAGCCATAGGTGACCCGAGTGCCATGATGTCACAATGCAGGGTACTTGTATGAGTAGCTGAGATAAAAGCTGCCATTCCCTGACTCCTGGACTGCATCCTACTTCCGGGGCAGTGACATCACATGCCAGTAAAACGTAACCAGTTCCACTTCGCTGCCACAGAAATTAGGACGTGTCCTGAGTTCCAACATGGCAGCTTCAACTAGAGCTTCTTACATGGATGTCTTGCTTTCAGCACACAATCCTTCCGGTTAATCAGATGCAGCACACAATCCTTCCGGTTAATCAGATGCAGCACACAATCCCTACTGTCAATCAGATGTAGTGCACAATCTTTACTGTCAATCAGATGCCGCACACAATCCCTACTGTCAATCAGATGCAGCACACAATCCCTACTGTCAATCAGATGCAGCACACAATCCCTCCGGTCAATCAGATGCAGCACACAATCCCTCCGGTCAATCAGATGCATCACACAATTCTTCCTGTCAATCAGATGCAGCACACAATCCCTACTGTCAATCAGATGCAGCACACAATCCCTACTTTCAATCAGATGCAGCACACAATTTCTACTGTCAATCAGATGCAGCGCACAATCCTTTCTGTCAATCAGATGCAGCGCACAATCCCTCCTGTCAATCAAATGCAGCACACAATCCTTCCTGTCAATCAGATGCAGCGCACAATCCCTCCTGTCAATCAGATGCAGCACACAAAACTTCCTGTCAATCAGATGCAGCACACACAACTTCCTGTCAATCAGATGCAGCACACAAAACTTCCTGTCAATGGCATACTTAATTCACTGTATAACAGCTACTCCATCCAAGATCTTATGCTTGTACTCAGAATTACAAACACTTCACAGCTATCATCTGGATCAGAGAGCAAACATCAAACGCGGCCACACTCATTAAAAAGGCTTGAAGTTAATCTTTTATAAACCACAATGGATGTACTGTAACATAGACACCACCCCCCACAAAATACCTTCCAAGTG